CAGAAGTCTGTGAATTTCAAGCACAACCAAAGGCTCATGAACATGAAGAGTTGAAAGAGAAGCCTTTGCAGCATAAGTTTAAAAGGGGAAAGCATTTTGCTGAAGACAGCCCTCTTTTGCAATATTGAGGCACTTGGCAATGACAACCAGCAATTGTCCCTGTTATCTGAGACTGCAAAATGTTCTGCATTATAATTATGAATGGACTTGTGAATGAAACACTGCCATGGAATCACAGAACTGTAGAACTGGAAGGGACCACCAGGGTCATCTAGTCCAGCTGCCTGAAGTGCAGGAATATTTTGCCCAACGTGGGGCTCAGACTCACAACCCTGCTCTACCAGCTGACTATTGCTTGCTTGCATCCTGCGGTTGCTGGTTTAGGGTCAGCAATTTCTGCTTTTATTTGCTTTGTTAGAAAACAGCCATGCAGAATCGACAGGGTTTCCTTTCCTTTCATTAATTAGTAAAAAATGTTTCTGTTGAACCTGACCAGAGCTGCTCTGCTGTCTGTTACCTTTTCTCCCCCATGAAAATTAATTGGTAGGTTTTGTGCCAGTCCAAGTCCAACGTCAATAACTTGTGTTCATTAAGCGTTTTTAAAATAAATAAATAAATGTGCATACATGTATTTCATTTATTTGCTTACTTACTATCTTTATTGGTCACCTTAGCACCAGCTGTTCATGGCAGCCTGAGCTAGCATCAAAGCCACCATTTAAAATTTAAGAGTGTGAACTGCAACAAGATGTTGCAGTGTGGACTGACACCTTGTTCCCCTCTTGTCATCCTTTAAAAATAATAATAATCCTATATCAAGTGTATCAGAATGTTAGGCATAATTCTACATCGAAAACTGGCTTTGAGTGCATCAGCAGAAAGGTAGAATATATGAATGTAACAAACAAATACCTTCCCTTATTTATCTCAAATAAGATGTACTAACTTTAATTTTTTTTTTACTGAGTTTTCAAAAGTTTGCTGCAGCATTTTTGTCTGACTCACAACAACCCACAGTCCTTGTGTAATTGGGAGGGTGAAAGGATTGGCTTCACGTATATATCAAATTCTTACCTACACAGCCCCTGATCAGCATCTTGCAGAATGCTGGCTGGCTCTTTTTTCCCTTTTCAAAGGAAGATCTATTTGGAATGTTCTTGTTTGATGCCATTTTGTGCTTAATGCTGAAATAATATCATATTAGCACAAATCCCCACTGTGTCCCAGACATTCTGTTTATAAAAAAAGCCATTAAAAGCCTGCTGTATATTTCAAAATCTTCTAATTAGAGCCTTAAGAAACAATTTGCAACAAAATAATTTATCTCCTTGTGGAATATGCACATTCAGATAAAATTTGCTCTGCTATGCTGGTTGTTCTGATAATGCGCACGGAACTTTTCTGAGCGAAAATTAAGTCCTTTTTCTGTGAAGTCCGAATTTCTGTGGTTTGGGGTTTACGTGTGTGGAATTTGCAGGTTATCTGGTCCAGGAAAGGCCATGCAAAGGAAAATATCTTCAGTACCCAGGCGTATGAAACAGTTAACAAACGCCATAGGTTGTCAATTTCCAAATATTGATAGACTGCAACTCCCATCATCTCTGACCATTGGCCATGCTGATGAGAACTGTAGCCCAACAACATTTGGAGAAGACTCCATTGACTACCTCTTGGTCAACCTTACAACCTCACAACCTCACAGTTGGACTGCACTGTGGTTGTCTGAATCTGCTGAAAGTTTGCTTCAGATTCTGCATGCCCCCCTGGGCTCAGTCAAGTCCTACCATTGTTGTAATAGGGCATAACAGAGCCCTGTGTCTCTTCGGTTTGTGCACAGGGGGAAAGATGGATCAGTGGAATCAGGCATGAGATAGCCACACTTCACAGGTGGCCTTGGGAGGTGGGGGGGGGGAATGCATGCTTTGGTTTTCCCAAGTTTGCATTTGGGTCCAAAACAAGCTTCAAGAAAATGTTTGTGTGCAGAGGCTCCATGCGGCTGGGGCACTTGGTTGTGTGGGGCTTCTGACTGTGTGGAGCTCATGTGCTTGCCTTTCTTTACAAAATCAAAACAAGTTCAATGCCTTGCTATGCAAATACAGTTGTGAGTTGAGGACCCACCACCCACTTAGAGATAAATAAGACACAAGGGCGTATGTATTTTAAGTTAATGGGCTAAAGAAGGCCACAGCTTTACTGGTTACAGCATGTGAGTGTGTGGCGTTTGCCCTCCTAGGTATGTGACATCATACTGGGTTCATAAAGAAAGGGTTAACTAATTGTAAAATGACTAACCAATAGGAACCCAAGGGGAGAAGTTAGAGTTAGTTGTTAAGAAGTCAGTCTGGAGTTAGAGAAGAGAGAGGGAGGATAAGTCTGATGTGAGAGAGTGGGAGAATCTGTTAAGAGGAGTCAGTCAAACAGTTGAGATAATCAGTCAGAAGGTATTAGGAAGGTATAGGCCGGTAAAGAAACTAAGGTTAAGAAACTGACAAGAAAATTATCCGAGAAACCATAAACTTGTTAATGCTTATAAAATAAACTTGTTTATTTGGTTTAATTTTAACAATTGTCTGGACTCAGTGTGCACCTGAGAGTAACGGGTTGGTGGCAGTGGGGAAGCAAGCACAGTGGTGGCACAGGGATCAATAGACCGTCAAACGTCCGGGGACCCTGTGCGATTGCCACAAAGTGGTATTGGCTTAGGCATTGGATCAAACAATCTATACATGACTCCACCCCGCTCAGCAGGGAGTCATACAAAGGTTAACAACCAGTGGGAGGAGCTTGTTGATGCAAATACAACTGGAAGCTTCCCCTGAGGTCACCGGAGGTCATGCCATGGCCTAGCCACCAGCAGGGCATCGGACAGGATCCATGACCACCGGATTCCTTTAACGGAACACCCAACAAGGGGAGGGGTGGGTGATGGCCACAACCTGCCCTCCAACACATGACATGTATTCCAATGCTTAACTGCCAATACCCAAAATGTTGTGATGATTTGCTACGAGGTAGGCGAAAAACCATGAGGCTGGTGCCAATTTGCCAAATGGATAAAAATTCCTACCAGGCCCCCTGGGCGACCAGGGCAACCAACCAAAGTCAGTAGCAAGGTCAGAAGTATAGATATGACCTAAAGGAAGGGTCGGTGGGTGATCCGACGACTTCTGGGCACAGAATGAGGGCACGGAGCTTCCACGGCCATTTGAAACCCTGCCCCCAAGCCAGCCCTATTGGCTGGCCTACGGGTGCAGCGCGGCAGCCGGGTAAGCTGATGCAGGGGGCTGAATATGTCCCCCCCCGCCGACACAGGAACTGGCTCCCGCTCACAACCCCTCCTCTCTGTTAGGAGGAGAGGCTTTGTCACAATACACAAAGCGCAACAGGCTTAATCATAACAACTGTGAAAGTTTTACTGGTAATTTCCTATCATAAAGGTTGAAATATACTCAGAGTCGAGAGTGGATTTCATGCTGTTTATTCAGCTCACAGTGGTGAGGAGGAATGGAAGTTCCCCCAAAATATCTGCTTTATATACATTATTTACACAATGGGCTGCACGTGATTGGCTAATTCCGGGCTTCTCCTGTAGGCCAATCAGGTTGTGGATTCACTTCCACCTGGAGCTAGATTGGGTGGCTCCTGCGGACCAATCATACTGCTGCATTGTTCTAGGAACAATCAGACTGCTGCATTCTGAATCCTATTGTTCTAGGACCAATCAGACTGCTGCATTTTGGATCCTATTGTTCTAGGACCAATCAGACTGCTGCTTTTTGGATCCTATTCAACTCAGTACATAACAAAGGTCTAGTCCAGTATGTGCAACATACACAGTTCATATGTATGGTGTATAACCTATGGGGCTAATTTCAATATTAATACATTTATTATTTTCTCATCTTTTCTTACTGCTTCTTCTTGTAAGTTCCTTTCTTTACAGACAACCACATAAAACACATGGTTGCTGAGGGAAGGAGACCTTGTTTGGTTTTGGCGAGGAGAGTCTATGTGGAGGGGATGGCAGCCTTTTTCCAGGTGCTACTTTGGTCCAAAATCCAAAATCTCCCCTCTCCTGCTTTCCACGTGATGTCCTTTAGATGTTTCACCTGAGCAGGAACCTCCTCATATGACCTACATTTTGGCTTTGTGGCGACATCTGGAAAGTTTGAACTCCTCGCTTTTCTCACAAAGCTCAGATTCCAGGCACCACGCACAGCCAGCTTTTTTAAGCTTAGCAACCTAAAACGCAGCCTTAGGCTGGAACAGACAATTTGTCAAGCGAGGCAAAAATTAAATGTTTTCAAGGTTTTTGCTGTTTTGCTGTTTGCTGTTCTGGGCTCCTTTGGGAAGAAGGGCCTGGTAGAAATTTAATAAAAATAATAATAATGCTATTAACAGTCTGGTAGGCAGCAGTTCCTCAGGGTTTCAGAAAGAAAGATCTCTTTCCCATCACCTTCTATACCTGATTTTTTTTTCTTTATTAAGAAGAAATAAATGCTGGAATGTAAGAACCATGAACCTTGGTAAGTCGTATAGTTAAAGCTATGGTTTTCCCAGTAGCGATGTGTGGAAGTGAGAGCTGGACCATAAAGAAGGCTGATCACCGAAAAATTGATGCTTTTGAATTATGGTGCTGGAGGAGACTCTTGAGAGTCCCATGGACTGCAAGAAAATCAAACCTATCCATTCTGAAGGAAATCAGCCCTGAGTGCTCACTGGAAGGACAGATCCTGAAGCTGAGGCTCCAATATTTTGGCCACCTCATGAGAAGAGAAGACACCCTGGAAAAGACCCTGATGTTGGGAAAGATTGAGGGCACAAGGAGAAGGGGACAGCAGAGGACAAGATGGTTGGACAGTGTTCTTGACTGAAGCTACCAGCATGAATTTGACCAAACTGCGGGAGGCAGTGGAAGACAGTAGTGCTCGGTGTGCTCTGGTCCATGGGGTCACGAAGAGTCGGAGACAACTAAACGACTAAACAACAACAACAAATGCTGGAGATGCCAAGGATTGAACCTGGAGCCTTCTGTGTAGAAAGCAAATGCTCAGCCACTGAGCTATGCTCTCCCCAACAGTACTGATGCCACATTGTGGACCTCCATAGTATCCTTTGGGCTGGGAAGACATAGGGTGCTTCGTATTTTATACGGGTGTTGAGCTATCACAACAGGTAACAGGTATTTTGTTGGCAGGTTGTTGTTTTCAAAAAAACTTTTTGAAATGGAAATTCAGATTCACTATTGGGGTGGGGTCTGTCATTTTGATGACAACAGGTGCTTCCAGAAAGCCTATTTATTCAGCATTCACTGTGAGTTTTTGCAGGGAGATGAGACGTGGTTGGCTCTTTCATCCTGATTTGTTCGTGGGGAGGTTAGATGATGTTGTGTCAAAGCAAGTGTTGTTTGCCACTTTCCAGTGCATAGTCCCATCACTTTCTGTTATGTACTAGGCTTGGATCCTAGAACAATAGGCAGGTAGGATCCTAGAATGCAACAACCTGATTGGCCTGCAGGAGCAGCCCAATCAGGCTCCAGGAGGGAAACATAATCAACCAATCAGATGGTACTCATTGTGTAAATAATGCATATAAAGCCTGAGGTTTTCGGGGGTGGGGGAGGGGAATCAATCACTGTTCCTACGAGCTGAAATAAAGACCATGAAATTACTACTCGACTCTGAGTATATTTCACTTTCCTTACCGTTAGAAGTCCAGCCTTTGGGGGTGGGGAGAGCCAGTTAGTTGCACAAGACCTCCTAATCACCTGTTAACTACGCAAACTGAATTTGCTGGTATGTGATTGAATCCAACTCCAAAATAGGGAAATCCTGGAAGAACTCCAAGCTAAGCTGCCCCCACTTGTAACATTGTCCTTTCATCTCTAGAAGATGCTTGAATTCAGAAAAGTTGTGGCTTTAACCCCATTTATGTCTCATGCATTCATTCTAGGGTTTGGGGGCAAAATGCAGTGCTGACTCAGTTTTACTATTTCCTTTTTTTAATCCCACCCCCCCATATTGTTCCAATAACAGCCTCATTATAACAATGCCAGTTTTATCCAATTAATTATTAAAACTGATTATTTATATACCGAATTATACAATTTAGTTAAAGTGACTTCTTCACTTGCTAGTTTTGATGGGTTCCTCTTCCTTTTTTTTTTCTGCATTCCAAAATCTTACTCTTTTCAATTACATTCCCTTCAAGATAGTAATCCCTTATGCAACAGCTGCCATTTTATGGTTTCTGTTTTCTTTTTTGCACTCCAGTGATATGCGACTGAATCCTACCTGACTGAATCCTACCTGAATATGGTCCATGAGACTGAATCCTACATGACAGCGGTGGCATCCTAGAAGCACTGTAATCAGATATCACATTGACACTGCAAAAATCTTGCACCCATGAGGAGCAGCCAGCCCATAATAAACACCTGTCTGGAAGCACTTTTACGCACTACTGATCAAATGAGGTTCTTTTCACCCATATATTTATGCCCTGGAACAAATCAACAAGTGAGCAAAAACGTAAACACGTGCCCAGGCTTAAAATGCATTTTATGTTCATTGATGCCTAAATGAGAAAATCACACCCATGTTGGAAGCAGCAGTGAAGAAACAGAGCTCTGCCATGGCAAAGCGATGCCATTTCTAAACGCAAGCATTTAATTTGACAAAAAGGGAAAAAAAAGTTGCATGGGATTCATCCAGCTCAGATAATAATATCATAGGCTAAACCCAAGCCTTCTGGTAAAGCGTTCGAAACGCATGTCATTAAAACTGCAGGGTTCACTTTTATATTTTCACATATTGGAGTGCACTTAATTAAGAACACAGGGAGCAATCATGTGGGCATTTAAGAGGTTTTCCTTGAAAATTGAAAAAAAAAAAAAAGCTTTCGAATTCCATCTGTTTCATGTTTACAGAACACCGTGTTCCTAGGTTACGTGATCCATGTAAACATTTCCACACTATACTCGGAAAATAAGAAGGTATCAGCTCCATCGAAAGGGCTAGAAAGCTAGCGGTGTGGGAGGGGGCAGGGATGTGGGGGTGACTTCCCTGTGTGATTCCCCTTCCTCATTACTTTTCTCCATCTGATAGCGCAGAGACTTGTCTGGGCATCTTGGATGGGGGTAAATGTGCAGGAGAAAGACTGATGGGCAGAGAACAGACTGACCCCCGGCCTGCCATTTCCCCAGGCCAGTTATCCCCTCTTCACCACAGATAGTTCAGTTGGGAGGGCATGAGATTCTTAATCCTAGGTTCATGGGTTCAAACCCCACATTGGGCGAAAAATTCCTAGGTTGCAGGGATTTGGGGCTAGAAGATCCTCATGGTCCCAACTCTATAATTCTATTATTTTTCTCATATTCTCCCCAGGCTATTTCCCAATAAGATGCTGATGAGCAGATAGCCATACATCCGGAATTTCCTGGACATATCCTGAATACTGCAGTCGACAGCAGTGTCTGGGTGGAAATCACCAAAAATGTCTGGGGAAATCCAGATATATGGCAGCCTGTGTTGGCAGTGTCGTTTTTGCCGACCCCCCCCCCCAAAGCTCAAAAACAGCTCAACAACTTTGGGCAAAGCTTAAGAAAGCTCAACAGCTTTGGCAAAAAATATACAGCAACTGTAGTTGTTAGTCCCTAGGCCACATAGTAATAATTTTCTAGAACTTCTGTTCTAACCTGAAGACCCATTCATGTTGATGAAGGTTCATCAATCTTCAGTCTCTCTGACGTGCCTTTCTTTTGCTCCTCCCCTCTCCCCGCAGGTGGTTACCTGCAGAACATCTCTTGATCATATGCCAGTGTGATATAGAACTGTTGGTTTTCTCAGAACCAGCTCTTATAAATAAACTTTCTTGCCTCTTCTCAGCTAAAGCTGATGCAATCTATTACTGTGTGTGAGAAAAGGAAAGAAAATGGCTTATGAGTCTGATGTAGGGCAATTGTTTTTGCTGTAAGCATGTTAAGCTGTGCCTCCACTGTGATGGCCTGGGACTTGGACTTGGGCTCGGACTCGGAACCAGAGGAGTCTCAGTCTGCACTGGATCCTCTGCCTCAGGTAGCATCGGAACCAAGTCTGGGGCCTGATTCTGAAGAGCCCCAGTCTGCACAGGTTCCCTTGCAACAAGCACCAGCTGGGCCGAGTCAGGGGCCTGAGCCTGCCCTGGCTCCAGATGCAGGGATGACCTCGTTGCCTTCAGCTGGGCAATCACTTACAGCTGCTCCACTAACAGTTGGGTCAGGAGAGGCTGAGGTGGCCTCTGGGTCTAGTAACCCACCATCATCTCCAGAGCTGCAGAGACTAAGGTCGGAGAGAAGGAGAGACCTGAGTACTCACAGGAGGAGTGCTCGCCTTTGGGAGAGACAGGGAGGTGTTACCCCGACAGAGATAAAAGGCTGTCAGACCACACCCCAGGTTGCGGGAGCTACATTGCTGTTTGCTAGAACCTGCCTGACACCCTGTGCCTGACCTAACCTGGCTTCCTGCCTTGACCCTGTCGGACTGACTCTTTGCAGAACCCTTGGATTCGGGACCGGACCTGGACCACGTTGCTCAGGTTTACCCTCGGGCCCAGCACATCCACCTAGGATCAGGTAACAGAGAATACAGGACATGGTTTGCATGCAAAAAGCTCGAGGTTCAATCCATGGCATCTCCAGGTATGACTGAGGAAGACTTCTGCCTGAAATCTTGCTGCAAGGCCATGTTGTATTCTTTCCCTTTTCACAGTGGGCAGGCTGAAATGCCACTTTTGAGTGGCACTCAAGCTCGCCTCCCATCCATGGGGGTGACCTGCCACATACCGAAAATGCAGTGTGCCAGCCTATCAATCTAAGGGGTTCGGCGTGGAGGGTGGTGCATGGTGGCACAGCTGGGCCCCATTGAGGGGCCCGTCTGACTCTAGGGTGGTGCCCAACCTGGCCCACTGCTAGTGCCCATTCTGCCCTGCAGAGCGACACCTTAACAATACACAATCTCATTGCCTGTCTTTGCAGCAATGTTATTGTGGACTGTCGTCTTTTGCAAAACAACACCCTGTTGTGTAACTCAAAATGGCCCCAGAGCAGATTTTCGTTATGTTGCTGCTGAGACATATGTTTTCAAGCACACAGATGCCTTTGTTTGGAAGAGACCAAAAATAGCCAGATCCTCCTCTGCCGAGTGGAGTGCTAAATTATTTACATTTCAAAGCCCATAAGTAGAAACAATGACTCTATTTGCAAAGCCTGTTCTTTCTAACTTCTTTGCTGTGAGTCCTGGAAGACCTGCTCCTAGTCTCACAAGCCTTTTCCATCTGGCCTGGGATGGCGGGGCCCGGACTGACTCCAGCTACAAAAGCAGAGGCTGCTGAATAGACTCTTGGGCTGAAATGTTTTTGGCGGAATTTTGTTGTGGGGTTCTGCTGTTGATGGTGTTTGGGTTTTTGTGTGTCTTTACTTTAGATCTTGTGATTTATGTGGAAATTGTTCAGCTTGTGTATTTTTTTAACATTTTATTTATTGTTAATGACTTTGTTATATTGTAGTTATGCATTTCCCCCCATGTTGTAAGCCAATTATATAAGTATGTATGCTCTAACAGAGATCTCTTTCTACCTCCTTCTGCAACCTTCACACCACTTTTCTAAGTTCTATTTAGTGCCTAATTGATTTTGCTTTGTACCAAATTTTTATATGCCACCTTTTTACCCCGTGTTCCACATAGTGTTTATTTTATGCATTTCGATAGCATTAATGGCCCCAGCTCTCCCCTAGAGCAGCAACGTCGTGGTTCCAGGCTCTTTTGCAATGTTCTAGAGGATGCTTGCCACAAGGCATGGCAGATTTCATGCCACAAGGCATGGCAGAATATCGCCACTTCATTCCTTCACATATGTTAACCCAATACATTGCCCAGAGCGGTTTAACAATCAACACCTTTTCCCAGTAGAGATGTATGGAAGTGAGAGCTAGACCATAAAGCAGGCTGATCACCGAAGAATTGATGCTTTTGAATTGTGGTGCTGGAGGAGACTCTTGAGAGTCCCATGGACTGCAAGAAGATCAAACCTATCCATTCTGAAGGAAATCAGCCCTGAGTGCTCACTGGAAGGACAGATCCTGAAGCTGAGGCTCCAATACTTTGGCCACCTCATGAGAAGAGAAGACTCCCTGGAAAAGACCCTGATGTTGGAAAAGATTGAAGGCACAAGGAGAAGAGGACGAGATGGTTGGACAGTGTTCTCAAAGCTACGAACATGAGTTTGACCAAGCTGCGGGAGGCAGTGGAAGACAGGAGTGCCTGGTGTGCTCTGGTCCATGGGGTCCCGAAGAGTCAGACACGACTAAATGACTAAACAACAACAATAACCTTTTCAAAGGGAACTCTGAGAGTTGTAGCTCCATTGGGAGAATAGGAGTCTCTCAAAAAAAGCCTCAGCACCTGTCACAAACTACAGATCCCAGAATTCTCGGGGGAAAGCCACAACTGTTCAAAGTGGTTTCACAATGCTCTAAACGCATGGTACAAATGTGGCCTAAGAACACTTTAAAGAGAGGGTGTGGTTATGACCTGTAAGATTCCAAAGGGAGGTCGGGTGGGGTTAGCCTTTTTTCATTTTAGGGCATTACGGGCAACAGAGATCAGGGTCGACTTTCACTTCCCTTGCATTCCTCCTTCACCTGCTTGTGCATATCAGATTGCATCCATCTTGAAAAATAGATGGCATGAAAAAAAGAAAAGAAAATGAAGAAAGCAGCCCTGGTAAACTAACAGGGGGCAGAGCTGCATGTATTTACAGCTGTGTTAAAAGAGATGTGGAAGCACAGCGTAAACGGCTCCACCTTAAAAATAATGAGGATTACCTTAAGGTTCCTGCTGGCGGTTTGCCACTGAAAACGCTCCAGGCTGTAGCTTAATCAAAAGGAAATGTACTTTTTTTGTATATACAGAGTGGGGGATGGGGAGCTGCAACGGTTTCTGTCGCTCGGTGTTTATTTAAACTTTAAGAGCCTATTTCTCTGGACCTTTTTTATTTTTTATTTTTTTTGCTTCTTCCTGGTTTGCAACAAAATATGCCAAATTGATTTTCCAATTTTGCCTTCAGCCTTGCTTTATGTCTGCTTTGATTTATTTATGTAGGTTTATAACCTACACTTTCTGCAAGCACTCTGGGCGGGTGCTTGTGTTTAAGGGAACGAGACTGTAAAAGATTTATTTCTAAGCGTGGCGTTGTAGATATAATATAGATTACAAGCGGGGACCTGAGAGGGGGGTGGGGGTGTGCGGAAATTGCACGCTTTGTGCATTTTGCTCATACCTATTTATTGTTGTTTGCTAACTCCTCGTCCTGCCTCCTCTTTTACCATTTATTGTAAATTAAAACTGACATTTCTGACAACGATGGCACTTGTTCTTATAAAGACGTGATCTCATGCTGTCTATGAGCAGCTAGGCAGCACCTGTCTTAAGCACCATGAAAATATGGATTCATTGACTGTTTCTCAGTGGTATAGAGAGGAAGATGCCTTATACTGTAGACAGAGCTTTGGTCCATTTAAGTTAGTATTGTCTACACTGACTGGCAGCGACTCTCTGGATTTCAGGCCAGCCCTTCCTGGGGATTGAACTCAGGACAGTCTGCATGCAAAGTAGATGCTCTATGACAGAGCTACAACACTTCCCCAGTTATATGAAAGGATATGGAGCCTCACCCTCATGAAGCCAGCCCACAAAATTAATAGTTGGCAGTTTTTTAAATACTGGTCAATAGTACCTGGCATTTACATGCTGACCACAGATGAAGGGGAACCCTCTTCTCAGCAGTCAGCATGAAGGTGCAGGCAACTAGCTTGACTAGTCACATACCTTCCAGCTGATCAAAAGTGGGATGCTCATTTTTGGCTCCTGAGCTCTCATGGGAGTCAGGTGACTCACATGAGACCATGAGAAGAAACACTGAGCATTTTTTTGGTTGGGCACTCTAGTGTGAGCCAGCTGATTCGTGCGAGACCGTGAGACCCCCCCCAAAATGAACATCTTTTGGTCTGGCACTGTGGCATGAGCCAACTGATTTGTGCCAGAGCACTGGACCAAAAAGTGGGACATTCCAAGATCCAACCAGAAGCCAGAATGGCTTCTGTAATTCCAGGATGTCCCGCTCAAATTGGGACAGTTGAGTGGTATGCATTTACCAGGGCTGGGCTGGTCATTTGGCAGAGTGAGGCCACACCCTCAGAGAGCAGATACTGGGGAGAAGCAGCAAGGTGTTGGACAGAGTTGAGTGTTCCCTGCACTCCCTAA